AAGCCGGCAAGCCCTACGCCTGTGTCAAATTTATATATCTATTTCAACCAAAATGGAACCTTGGATCGTTTTTCATCAACAGCTAACCTTAGAAATTACCATTTTTATGGACATATTTAATTACCCCGTGTTTCATAGGTTTATTTTGACAAGAAACATTAATCTTAGACGATAGTAATATGTGAACCACCACTCTGATCCAGTGGCATAAATTCTGAGTTAGGATTGTTCATATTTTGTGGGTTGTGTGTTCAAGTTTCACAGATCTCTTTGTCATTTCCTCAATTAATACAGATAAATAATATCAATCTGTTCAAAAAAAAAAAAAAAGACAATGGTAATATATATTAACAAATTAAGTAATTTACCACTATTTTTTTTTATAAAAATAAGAAAAGTCTTATGAAATGTGTGTAAATATATATTTGATAGCGAGAGATTTATTTACATATAAATTTTATATATTATATTTATATAAAATTTTAATTATTTAGTTTTTTACTTTTAAATATTTAAAATTTATTATAATTTTTTAGATAAAAATAATTACTCTTAATAATTATGATAAAAATTAAATAAATTTTAATTATTAAAGATATAAAAATAAATACTCAAAATTTTTATATAAATATAATATATAAAATTTATATATAAATAATGAAATAGTACCTATCAACTTTATCTCATAAAAATTAAAAGGAGAATCATCTCAAAATTATATCGTTTCAATAAATTTTTATTAAAAAAGATTAAACTATTTTATTTTTAAAATATGTATTAAAGTTATTTTTATCTTTTTTTTTTCCTTAATTTTTTAAAAGTAAAGTGAACAACTACCGAACGCTTATCAATAAATCCTAACCAACTCTATATATAAGGGCCATGCGTTGCAATTCACCAAACACTAACAAACCGTCCCATCTGTTTTTGCCTTCTTTCTGATAAAAACAAAATGCTGAACATAGATTGCTGCCTCACTCTCATTGTAGCGTTTTCTTTCATATGGGCACTGAAGAAGGTAATCGGAGGGCATGCCAAGTTGCCACCTGGCCCCCGTGGGTTGCCTTTGGTCGGCTACCTTCCGTTTCTTGGCCATAATCTCCACCATCTGTTCATGGAATTGGCCGGCGTTTATGGTCCAATTTACAAGTTATCACTGGGAAATAAACTCTGTGTCATAATAAACTCCCCATCCTTGGCGAGGGAAGTTGTCCGCGAACATGACACCACGTTTGCGAATCGCAACCCGAATAGAGCGGCGTTGGTTTTCTCCTATGGAGGAAACGACATTGCATTTTCGCCATATGGTCCCAAATGGCAATTTCTGCGCAAGATTTTGGTGCGGAAGATGCTGAGTAAAGCGAATCTTGATAACTTTTATGCGCTACGAAGAAATGTCATGCTTAAAATGTTGAAGGAAGTGTACAGAAAGAGTTGTGAGGATGTGGCTATTAACGTCGGAGAATTGGCATTTGTAACAGTGATCGACATGATATCGAGCATGTTTTGGGGTGGCACACTGGAGGAAGAGAAGGGGAATAGTGTTGCAGTGGAATTTCGCACTGTGGCATCGCAGCTGGTTGATATAATGGGAAAACCGAACGTCTCAGATTTTTTTCCTGTGATTGCCAAACTTGACTTGCAAGGAATTGAAAGGAAAATAAAGAAAGTCCGCAGAGAAATGGATAACATATACAATTTGGTCATAGAGAGAGCAAGAGAAGGACTAAAACAATCTGCAAGGAAGGATTTTTTGCAGTTCCTCTTAAAGTATAGAGATGAAGACACAGGAAAGTCCATTTCTGTAGCAGAAATCAAGGCCATGCTTATGGTAATATTCCTAATAATAACCCTTTTTTTTTACTTCTTTTATTTGCAATTTTAGAAACAAGCCAAATTGATAATGTAAAACAGGACATTGTGGTGGGCGGAACAGACACAACATCAACAATGGTCGAATGGACCATGGCAGAGCTGATACTACATCCTGAAGTAATGCAAAAGGCACAAGAAGAATTAGCTGAAGTGGTGGGACTCAACAACAGTGTCGAAGAGTCTCATGTCCAAAGATTGCCATATCTACACGCAGTCGCCAAGGAGACCCTAAGATTGCATCCTGCAGCGCCACTGTTGCTACCGCGTTGCCCAACCCGTTCTTGCACGGTCGGTGGTTACACTATACCCGAAGGTACCAAAGTTTTCTTGAATGTCTGGGCCATGCACAGAGACCCTGAGTTTTGGGACAATCCATCTGAATTTCGTCCGGAGAGATTCATATTGAACGATGCTAATGGTAAGAAATTGGACTTTTCTGGGAACAACTTCGAATACCTTCCGTTTGGGTCGGGTCGTAGGATCTGTGCGGGGCTTGTTTTAGGGGAGCGGATGTTGATGTACGTTTTGGCTTCGTTACTGCATTCATTCGAGTGGAAAGTGGCCGAAGGGAGCGAACCCGATACTACGGAAAAGTTGGGCATCGTTTTGGAGAAAGCCAGGCCTCTTTTTGCTGTTCCACAGCTTAGATTGGCTAACTTGGAAGCTTACGGGGAATGAGTTGCCCGATCTCCTATGGTGCTT